GAGGAGCAGGAGGAGGAGGAGGAGGTGGAGCAGAATGAGGAGGAAGATGTGGAGGAGGAGGAGCAGCAGCAGCAGGAGGAGCAAGAGGAGGAGGAGGAGGAGGAGGAGGAGGAGGAGGAGGAGGAGAAGGAGAAGGAGGAGGAGGAGGAAGAGTGGGAGGGTTATGAGGAAGAGCTGGAAGAAAGGTGGACGAGGGGGAAGGACAATAAGGGAAGCGGATCAGGAAACTAGTGAAAAGAGGGTGATGATGACAATGATGACGATGATGACGATGATGATGATGAGGATGACGATAATTTTGATGATGGTGGTGACGATGACGATGATGCTAATAATGATGATGATCGTAATGATGATGGTGATGGTGACGATGAGGGTGATGATGATGCTGATGATGATGATGCTTGTGATACTGATGATGATTATGATGGTGATGGTGGTGATGCTGATGCTGATAATGATGATGACGAGGAGGAGGAGGAGGAGGAGGAAGAGGGTGATGACGATGATGATGACGATGATGATGGCGATGACGAAGATGATGACGATGGCGGTGATGATGATGATGATGATGATGAGGAGGAGGAGGAGGAGGAGGAGGACGATGTGGTTGATGATGCTGATGCTGATGATGGCGATCATGACGATGCTGATGCTGCTGATGATGATGCTGATGACGATAAGGTTGCTGATGATGATTTTGACGATGATTATGCTGATGATGCTGGTGGTGTTGACGATGATGATGATGGTGATGATCATGTTGGCGACGACGACGACTGTGATGATGCTGATGATGATGCTGATGATAATGCTGGCGATGATGGTGATGATGATGCTGATGATGCTGATGACGATGATGATGATGGTAATCATAATGATGGTGATGGTGATGATGGTGATGATGATGATGATGCTGATGATGTTGCTGAGGGTGATGCTGAGGGTGATGATGATGATGCTGAGGATGCTGATGCTGCTGATGATGATGACGATGATGATGATTTTGCTGGTGTTCTTGTTGATGCTGATAGTGATGATGATAATGATGATGATGATGATGATGATGATGATGATGATGATGGTGATGGTGATGGTGATGGTGATGATGATGATGATGATGCTAATGATGATGCTGATGCTGATAATGATGATGATTAGGAGGAGGAGGAGGAGGAGCGGGAGGAGTTGTTTTGACATCCACGGCCATGAAACCAACTAACTGGGGCAAATAGTATCGAGGTCGGCTTTGACCCCCTTCTCTTGTGATCAGGGTGGATTGCCCAACCTCGACCAAACTTCGCTGTGGCCTGGCGGCCGATCTAGACACTACTTTGCGAGCCTACGCATCTGACCTCCAGTCGAGAAAGCGGCACAACTCTGACACACACACAGGCGAAGTTCTGGTCATCAACGTCAACCACGATGCAGCGGTGACCGAGCTCCCGCAATTTAGCGCGGGGTCGATTCGGAGCTGGCGGGTGCACACTCCAGGGAGTGGCTTCTGGTTGCTACGCGAACCTCAAGCAATTGGGGCACTGCCAGACGCGACCAACCCATGTCCACTCGTGTGGTGGAGCAGCAGGCTTTGCAGCGCGAGCAGCATATTCGTCTCTCGCTCGAGATTTGTCCTCGGCCAGCGTTCCAAAATCTTCGCGGGTAATTTGAAGGCGGCTTTTGCCGTCCAAATCGCGTGACTCAAATTCGTACGGTCAGCTTCTTCCATACCAGCGTACAAGCGGGCTCCCGCTTTGGCCGCCTCGTCGGCAGCACTATTCCCGATACTATGTCTGCGCCCGAATGGTGGCAGGTCAGGGTTGTCGGTTCTGTGCGCCTTGACCTTCACCACTGAGCGGATGTTTTTTTTCGCAAAAGCGTAGCTCTGCATAACCAGCCCGCTGTAGGGTCTGGCTGGAGAAAGACAGTCGGCCAAGCTCTTCTTATACTCATTCACGACAGCAGCACAAACACTGAAAAGGTCCGAAGGCGCAGCAAGCAGATTGGATGCACTGGTTGGCGCAGCAAACTCCGCAGCGACACTGGTCTGCGGGTAAAAACTGCCAAGGGCGCCCCACATTCGAGCAAGGATCTGACCCGTAGGACCGAGACTCACCACACCCCAACCAGACCGGGACAGTTCCTTGATCGAAGATCTCATGCGAGAGCCGTCCAGGTAAATGTCTCCTATAAATTCCCTCACCCCCTCAAAAGGAACTTCGTTAAACACTTGGCCTGGAAAGCCTCGGGAAACACCTGGAAGACCACACTCTGCAGAGCCTGGGCTTGACTCATCGGACCTGGGGCCCACAGGGACGGATGCGGGATGAGGCCCGTTCCGCACACAAGTTTGAAAGCAGGGCTGGGGTCGGCGGAGAGCTCCTCGCGGATTCTGGCCGAGAGCCTCGCGCCAAATATCTCAACGCGCTCTTCCTCGCACTCAGGGCAAAACCAAAGCCTATGAATGATGGTGTCGCCAACTTGCCCGTACAGATAGCACTCGTCTTCTACCTGGTAGCCAAGCGCCACAGCTCTACTCAGCGGCCGCACGGCCCGACAGGTCAACGCTCTTATCGTTCCTTTTTCTTGGTGGGAAAATTTGGAAGATGCCACAGCCGCATCGACCAGGTCAAAACAGAGGCGGGCCCCGTCGTGGTACCTGCAGCCAGCCTCAGTTTCAAGGTCGGGAAAAACCGCGCTCCTGAAAGATCGTTCGAAAAGGGCGGGGGAGGCGAGGAGGGGGGGGATCTCCACGTCCCTGTCATCGACCATAGGGAAGGGGTCTCGTATATCCCACCCGAGGCGGCGGAGGGACAGGTGCATGGCTCCAACGGGCCCCCTGCCCGAACGCCAGGTATTGGGGGGGGGGTGAGCCCACGCAGAGGCCCGCCCAAGCATCACGGACTTCCTGCAAGCTGGGCGACCACGGAGCTCTCGTCGGCAATAGCCACAACTCCTTGCAGTATCCGGTGATGGGTGCAACAGGTCCGTAGCAAGCTGGGTCTTTCTCGAGCCGGGTGAGGATTGGTCGACGATCTCCCTCCGCAGTTGGGTTTCACGGTTGATGCAGCAAGCCTACGGATCGCCAGCAATTCTCCATCAGACATGCCATGCGCTTCTGCCCCGCTGAGCACCTGCCAGGGGCCCAGAAACAAAAACCTTAGTTGCTCGAGAACCCAGCGTTCCACGCTGGCGGACTAAGCGGCGGGTCTTCCACACTGCTGCTGCCATCCTGGTCTTCGCCTTGGCATCCCTCCCCTCACCCGCCTGGAGGCCCCTGGGGCGAAGTCAATCCCAAGGTTCACGATCGATTCCCTATGAGGCCCCACGAGGTCCCCGAAGGCTTAATTGAGGCGCATAGAGACCAACTTCGAAGACGCAACCATGGAAATCTTGTCAACAGACAAAATCTGAGCACGCATCATCACGGTGATGGCATGCTCCTGAGGCAGAGCTCCCTTGGTGAGGTTGCTATCAATCTGGTCGGCCGTGCCGACAGAGTTCAGACCATAATCGTCGCTGTAAACGTCCAGGGTGGTTGATCACCCCATGGCCCCCGAAGAGCGCAGGCGAAACCACCCCACGCAGGACCATAAAGCGAGCCGATCGATACCCAGCCAGACAGACCGCCATCAGAACAGCAGGGAAGTTAAGCCGTTGGCCCCGAGCCTCTAGCAAAGCCAAGTTGATCTGTTCGTAGTATTAAAGCATATCGCATTGGATCCCCCGAGCAAAAAACCTCCAGCGTGCTGGAGGTTTTTTGCCACTCCGCTCAGCCGCTACCGACTGGCGCCAAACCACGTCCGAGGCAGACCGATGCTTCCCCGTAGCCCAGCGTGGCCGATCGTTTTCAGCCTCCCAAGCAACAGCGTAGGGCCTACGGATGCGGCCCCATATCCGAAAGGGGCTGGAACAAAAAAAAACTCCGATCGGGCGGAACCCAGGGGCCGATTTCGGGATCAGGGCCATGATCAAGGCCCGCAGTTGACGGGGAAGCATTTCTGCCGACTCGATGACGACAACAAAATCCACCTCGGCACTGGAGCGAATCGTCGCACAGGCACTGGTAGTGCCCCAGGTGGAAGCCGTCCAGTCCGACAGCCGAACACCGAGAGTACGAGCTCGAGGCCGTGCGATTCGCCAGCACTAATCTGCGGCAGCGGCTCGAGGTGTTGGCAGCGAAGGCGGGCAGGCGTGTCCACCGCATTCCATAAATTGTCAAACCTATCACTCTCTTGCTTCAAGAGGGCCTGGGGAACACTAACCAAATAACCGAACCGACTGAGAGCCGACGTGGGTCTCCAGGCAGCGGGGCCATTGGAAGCCCGATGAGCCCATCGGGCCCCCTGGTTAGTCCCCTCCAGAAGCCAGGCGGCCCAGTCGGACCTCGCAGTTTCCGAGAAATGGTCCGAACACGCTTTTAGGGACTCTTGAAGCTGCCTGTGGACTCCGTCCAAAGAAACCTTGACTGCCTCGTGGCCCGAGGTCCACAAGCTGGCCAGATCGGATGCGGCTTTAAAGGCGTCAGTGTAGTCACCTTGGTGCACAGCCACTGCCGGTGGCGGAGACGAGGGGGCATCGCGCACCTTAGCTAAATCCCAAGGGTGCTTGTCTGGCCCAGCCAGCACTAACCAATAAGAAATTAGACACGTAGGCCAGAGCCACCTCATACTCTGCAGCACAGGCTAACGGACCTCTCCGTGATCGCGCCCAAGCACAGGACGCCACCACAGAATAGCACCTTTACCTCTCACCCTATAGTACGAGAGGATCGTGCCCGTCACGTTACACAGCTCACGCTCAGCAGTGTTCGCCCACTGCTTGCAGGCGGCAGCGAGAAGGGAATCCAGCGCGTCCGCGCCCCCCCTCTGGGCCCTGACCATGGCCTTGTCCAGGAGAGCCCAACACTTGCCATAACACGGGGGCTCAGGCGACGGACCGATCGGGGCATCCACAGTGATCGGAGGGGTGGGGGGGGCTTGCGGAAAGAAAGAACATGAAGG